CATGAAAAACTGGATTTGAGGCAATATGTAGTGCCGCTTGATTGTCATAATATAGATTGGCAGGATGTGAGTGTTGGATGCCCAAATCTTGTAGGATGTATTTCAACCAAGTAATCTCACAACAAGTTGCAGCCATAGATCGATACTCAGCCTCTACGCTAGATCGTGATATCGTAGTTTGCTTCTTGGTTTTCCAGGAAATTAATGAACTTCCAAGAAATATACAATACCCAGTGACAGATCGTCGAGTATCATGACATCTAGCCCAATCCGCATCACAAAATGCATTTAATTGGATTGAACTATCTGTAGGAAGAAAAATTCCTTGACCTGGTGTTTGCTTCACATAATGTAATACACGATAAGCTGCTTCTTGGTGTGGGACTCGTGGTTTGTCCATAAATTGGCTTAGAACATGTACCGCATATGTCAAATCAGGTCGTGTGATAGTCAAGTAAATTAGTCGTCCAACAAGCCTTCGATATGAAGAAGGATCACTAATATAGTCCCCATCAAACTTACTAAGGGACAAGTTTTGCTCCATGGGAAAAGAGACTGGTTTAGCTCCTAGATAACCAACATCTTCGAGAATTTCGAGAGCATACTTTCATTGTGAAAGAACAATGCCTTTGTTGGATCGTGCAACTTCTATTCCAAGAAAATATTTCAATTGTCCAAGGTCCTTCAATTTAAATTGATCTCTTAAAAATGACTTGGTATCTTCAATGTCTTGTGGATTATTTCCTGCAAGGATGACGTCATCTACATAAATAAGGAAAGTAGTGAATTTACCATCTTGGGATCGGACGAACAAGGAATAGTCGGCCTTTGATTGTTTGAAGTTGGCTCGTTTGAGGGTAGTGGTGAGTTTGATAAACCATTGGCGAGATGCTTGTTTGAGACCATACAATGATTTGTGAAGCTTGCAAACTCTTGTCTCCCCCTTTCATTCGAAACCAGGAGGTAAAATCATGTAGACATCTTCATCAAGATCTCCATGCAAGAAAGCATTGTTGACGTCAAGTTGGTGAAAGTGCCAATGCTGGGTTGAGGCCACAGCAAGGAGGAGGCGAACAATCACAAGCTTTGCAATTGGAGCAAAGGTCTCACTGTAATCTAATCCTTCTATTTGGTTGTATCCTTTGGCTACCAACCTGGCCTTATAGCGTTCGACAGTACCATCGGGTTTGAATTTGATCTTGTATACCCATTTGCAGCCAATTGGCTTCTTTCCTGGAGGAAGTGTCTGAAGAGACCATGTTCCATTAGCCTTGAGTGCAGCAAGTTCTTGTTGCATAGCTAGGCACCATTTGGGATCACAAATTGCCGGTTCAAAGGATGTTGGTTCTTTTTCCACTGAAAGAGAAGTGGTGAAAGCATGGTGTTTGGGTGATAACTTATCATAAGAAACGACATCAGATAAGGGATAAAGAATACCTGTTTCTGTAACCATCGCCGAGTTAGATGATGGAATGTTCCTTGAAGGAAGAGAAACACCAACATGATACTCTCAAAGATAACTAGGTGCTGTTGTTGTTCGTGTCAATCGCGAGGAAGGTATCTGTGATTCATGGGACGAAGTTGGAAAGTGTTGGGTAGTAGACGAAGTAATATCAGAGGAGATAGTGTCAGTGACATAGTTTGAAGGAGGAGTTTCTTGAGAGATAAGTTCTGATGGTATTGGTTCAGCATTGAATTGTGGGGAAAAGGATGGAGTGGGGTTGTCATCATCATATGTTGGCAGTTGATTACTATGAAAAATTGGAGAGGAACGTATGGTGGAAGATGAATAAGGAAAAACATTTTCATGAAACAAAACATCACGTGAGAAAAAAACTTTACCAGTTGAGAGATCATAAAATCTATATCCCTTTTGGCCATATGCATAGCCTAAGAAGAGACATTGTGTGGCTCTTGCATCAAACTTTGAGGGACGATGATGGTGTGTTGAGGCAAAACATAAGCATCCAAAAACTCGCAAATGGTCGTATGTGGGCTGTTTGTGAAAAAGCATCTCAAAGGGTGTTTTTCCTTTTAGGAGAAGTGTAGGTGTTCGGTTGATGAGATATGTAGCAGTTAAAATGGCATCTCCCCATAACTTTTTGGGAAGATTGGCTTCAAATAGTAAAGCTCGGGCCACATTTAGGAGGTGACCATGTTTTCACTCCACTACTCCATTTTGTTGTGGAGTAGAGACACAACTGGTTTGATGAATGATCCCTTTATCTAAATAAAATTTTCTCATTATAAATTCAGGGCCATATCACTACGAAGAATTTTGACTTTCAAGAAAAATTTTGTCTCAATTAAATTGATGAATGAGGTTATGTATTTAGAGACGTCAGATTTATGATTCATCAAATAAATCCATGTACATCGAGTGTAATCATCCACAATAGAAAGAAAATATTGTGCCCCATTGATTGCAGGAACATGGTATCCTCCCCAAATGTCAACATGAATTAATTCAAAAGGTGCATGATCATGAATTGAACTTAATGGAAATTTAGAACGAGTTTGTTTGGCTAATGGGCAAGTTAAACAATCAGAAATATCATGAAATTTTATTTTTGTATCTAAATGGGAAAGTAAACGTAGACTCTTATTTGAAAGGTGACCAAGGCGTTTATACCAAAGTTGATAGGTTGTTGAGGTAGCTGAGTTGCATCTGGCTTTCTGCGTAGTATCAAGGTAGTAAAGTCCTCCCCGTTCAATTCCCATCCCAATCATCTTCCCCGATCGTTGGTCTTGTAGCATACAAGTATTCTTAGTAAATGTGGCAAGATAATGGGAATTGCAAACAAGTTTGCTAATAGAGATGAGATTTAATTTGAAGGAAGGAATACAAAGCACATCATGTAATGTAAAATTAGCCACATGAATGCTGCCTATGTGTGTGACAGTCGCTAGTTTTCCATTAGGGAGATATACAGTTCGATCAGTAACACAAGATTTTGTGGTTAATAAGTCAGCAGAGCAAACCATGTGATCGGTAGCTCCTGTGTCAAGTATCCAACGAATTTCTTGACCAATAATGGGAGCACAGAAGGTTATACCTGAGAGATCACTTATAGCAGATGTACTACTAACATGATTAGCCATGGATTTGGAGTTGTTCTTATCAAGCATCACCATGAGGTTCTGGTATTACTCTGCCGTGAGAGTGAAGGACGTGGGAGGTGCTCTTATATTGGCATCCACATGATTAGCTTTGGAGAAATTATTCTTGCGCTCTCGCTGATCAAAATTACCACCTCCAGAATTAATCCTTTGTAGCTTCCTATAGAAATCAATGGTGTGTCCTTGCGCACTGCAATAATCATATATAAGGTGTGATCGGCATGCCTCTGAGGTGTGCCCAACTTTGTCACATTTTCCACATTTCGAATGAGGACTTTTAAGCATGTAGGTTCTCTCAGAGCTTCGTGGGTTATTTCTCACAGCAAAGGCTACAGCTTCAGGCTGCAATGTGCTTTCCTTTGACAGTCCTCGCTGTTTTTCATCTTGAAGGATGAGAGAGTGGGCTTTGTTGACTGTAGGAAGTGGATCCATAAGCAATATTTGTCCACAAACAGCAGCATACACGTCATTAAGCCCCATAAAGAATTTAATGGTCTTTTGGCTTTGCTGAAATTGCAAAACTTCCTTCACAGTCCCACAGGTACAGGTTGGGATAGAACACAATGCATCACGTTCATCCCAAAGGCCCTTCAGTTTGGTATAATAAGCACCAATGGTCATGTTTTCCTGTTTGCAGTCATGAATGGCCTTTTCGACATGGAAAAGATGGACACCGTTAGTGCGTGAAAAACGTTCTTTTAAATCATCCCAGATTTCATGAGCACTTTCATTGTATATTATACTTGCTCCAATCTCTTGTGAGATTGAATTAAAAAGCCATTCTTTTACAAGATTGTTGCAGCTCTTCCATCGTTGGAGTTCTGTGGTGGACGTTGTTGGTGGCTGTTTAATAATGCCGGTAACGAAGCCTTCTTTATTTTTGATGCTGAGAGCCATGAGCATGGCAAGACTCCAGGTACTATAGTTTTCTTCATTCAGTAGTTGTGCAACAAGTACGAGCCCTGGTTGATCAGAGTGATGAAGGTAAAAAGGATCATTTGGATTGTCGTATCCGTTGGCCTCAGGCTTGGCTGAGTTTTGGATCAATTGACTGTCATTTTCTGCCATGTTCGGCCTTTGCTGTGATTGGGAAGGGAAAGGAAATAAGGCTCAGAATTGTTCTGGCTCTGATACCATGAAAAGGAAAATAATTCTTGTATATTTCATTGAAAAATAATAAGGTATATATTTAAATCATACGAGAATTAATTTAGGTCCTAAAACAAAGCATATATATTGTCATTGCCTATTCATACTCCTGTATAAATGGAAAATACATTAACAGCAATTGATGGTGGTTGACTGAGATGATTGAAGGACATTCTTGACTTTGTGCCTTGATTCACTTTTAATTCTTTAACAAAAAGATATATAACCCCACATAAAATTATGTTCAACTGGATACTTTACAAAGTAGATTACATTTTCAATTAGTTAACTCATGATACTCAAATATCGGGACATAAAATGGCTAAAACATTTACTAGCTTCATTACACATGATGAACATGCTTCCTTCTGGGCTTCCACAGTGAGGGGTCAATCGATACTACACATGAACACATTCAAATGCATCTAACAAAGCAATGAATAAGAAAGCAGTTGTACTGGGATCTTGAATGGATTCAAAAGGCTAAGCTACCTTATTTGCCCCCAGTTTCCTACTTTGTAAGAATTCAAAGATTGATGGTGTGTTAGAACTACTGACAGAAATAGCCTGCAAAAAATGGGCCCATTCACAGCAAGAATAACAGATATTTTAAAAACAAGTCGCAATCAAATACGAGATCTTGCCTCAAGATCCAAATGGATCTTCCACAAAAACCCATTAGTAACATCAAATATAAGATCAGGAACAAGAAAGACCGGTCATCTCCATAGATGATTATTTCAGCATCACTCAACCCTGTTGATATTGAAGCTCCAGAGAAACCTCTCAGCAAAAGAGGAAGTGGAGTAGATATAGGTGTTCATGATTCTGCGAACATATCATATATAATGACAACTTTCGCATCCACTTGATGAACAAGCAAAATGATTTCTTCATTGAGAATGAGGTTTCTCATAGTTTTGCAGTAGATTCAAGTCTCCATGTGAATGATCAGAACAAATGGGACTTTAATATCAAATTTGATTTGATTTTAATGACAGGAAAGAGGAAAATAGGTTGGATTTTGACATTACTGTGCCCAGTGTGCATAACTCTTACATGAAAGATGGTGTAATGGAAATGGTCTATGAAGAATATTGGATTTAATGCTATTTTGAAGCTCTTTAAGATTTTGCCTAATACTTTTTTGAACATCGAGATATAGTTTTCTTAATTGCATTGAGACTACTGGAATCAAGGTTGGATTGCACGTTTTGATTTTCATGAAAAAGGAGCATAAGAGTATCTAGAAGTCATGTCAACCAAGCTTGTTATTGCTAACTCTTTTTTCTCCTGGGTGGGGGGTTAATCTTTTTAGAAGACATTGATAAATGCAATCCAATAATGAATGAAAATTATTTATCTTAACATTCATTTATAACTTGTTCTTGGTTATAATCCGTGTGTAAAGCCTTGTTTTATAACCCCCTCTTTGCCGTCCCCGTTTGCTTTCATCGCTATACGCATAGCTACGAGTGGTTCTTGTAGGCCGTCAGTATCTTTCTTGATTTTCTAAATGCAGGCAAACACGTATGTAAATTGCATCAAGATATGAAAGATGTCAAGATTTAGCAGGTTAGTTAGCTGATATCACTATTTCTTTAATCTGTTGAACTCAGTTTTCACTTTCTAAAGTTGCTATCATCTTTGTTGTGCATGGGTTCACATACTCTTGAAAGGATTTGAAAAGATTGCTGCAAGTGCAGATATCCCAATGTTGGTGTGGAGATTTCCATTCAGTTCCTGAAAGGTTTGTCGGTTTTCATCTTTAACTATATGGTCACTTATTGAAACATGTATAGTTTCTATGTGTAAAGCATCCACCTTCGCTCAAATTTGCTGGATGCTAATCATCTGAACTAAAATGCAGTGCTTCTCATGCCCTCCTTGCCATGGGGAAAGTTGATCAAATGCATCCAGATTTAGCAGTAGACCCATTTCAAATTCTTCGTTCTGTTAGCAAACTGACACATCAGCTGCCACTTGTATCATCCTAATAAGTCTTTTAGATGCTTGTAACTACTCATTTGTCTAAAATATGTGAGTTATGTAGTTGCTTAACATTTCTGGTTGTGATATTCTACTCAAAAAGGTAAGTACGTACTCATCCTTTGCAAGAGTTGTAGTTAGTCGTGGTCTAGAACAGAGAAGGAAAATGGCTTCTAGGACAAATGAACCCCTATTTACGAACTGCACCAGAAATTGTATTAGTACTCATGATTACATATTCTATTCACGTATCTATTTGATGTTTTGTGCTGGTCACATTTTGTTTCAGTTTGTTTGTAACAAGTCAATGTTTGTTATTATTTTTAATGTTTTTATGTGCAATTTTATAAATAGCTAATTTGCATTATTGGAATTACTTTATATGTTTTAAGAGAAAAGTTAAATTTGTGCTTTCAGGGAACTCCTTAACTGTGGAGTCACTGTTGGTGCTTTTGGATGAGGATAGCTTGCGAAAAGATACAACCCTTCCTTCTCCAGAGTGGTCTGATGATCATATAGCACTCTTAGTTGAATTCCGCTGCAAACATAGAAATAGACAATGGCACTAGGTAAGCATCTGTGTGTCATTAAACATTGCACAAGAACTACTTCTGAATATTTTTATACTTGGCACCCATTCCCAGATGAATGTGCCGAAGTAGTTGAATGGTGGACTACATGAGAGTAGCTACATAAACTGTATTGTTAAAACACACTAGCCAGCATTTGAATCAGAAGAGTGAGCTTTTGGGTTTATGCAAGGTAGTTTATTTTGGTGGTTGATAGACTTAAGGGAAATGCTTTTAAATTTTTATAATATCTGGAAGTTAAAATAGATACATCATACTGGTACATTGGCTTTTATAAACTATCATATCACATAAAAACCTGATTTTAATTATTGAGTACCTGCAGTTTTTGTTCGACTGAAGAAGACTCTGTCCTTTTCATGCCCTCTTTCATCATGTTCTTGGGGGTTAGGAATCCAAACCCCCACCAGTTTTCCATAATCGCACCTGAAAACCAACTAAGGTAGTGTTAGTGTTTTGCTTTAAAAAAAAATAAAAAAATCTTAAACACACATCATAAAAATGGCAACAACTTCAATTTTTTGAGTAGTCATTCTGATTCCAAAAGCTTTTTCATGTCATGTCACGAGTCAAGCAAAAATGGTTGAAAGGATTAGATTCATTTTCAGGAAAACAATTTGTATAAAATGTCTATTTTTTAATGCTCACCAACAACATTCATATGTTAATTGGGGTTCTTTGGTGATTACACTTTCTAGAGCACTAAATGAATTTACATCTGGTTACAAAATCAAATAGCATTTGGATTCAATGGTAAGTTTGAATTATTTTATTGGAAAAATCTACTTTCATTCTTCTGTTAGCTGAATAATTCTAAACTTTGTGTAAAGATTGATCCGTGGGAACTTTTCTTGTACTATATGTCACATTGTCGTAGATACAGCTTAGCCTTTCAGTAGCAATAATCATAGTACAATTCTATGTGTCAAACCAATTGTCGTGACATCATGCAAGAGAGCTCAATTTGTTGTTAAAGGCTTTAATTTATTGCGGCCCTCTGCAAGGCATGTTTATTATTTAATGTGTGGTTTTTTTTTTCTTTTCAGCTTCAATGCTTGCCCCTCCAATATTCAAAATTTATTATGGCTTTTCCATTGGACATTGTGTCAAAACCAGTAGAGTGATACATGTAACTGTTAAGTCTCTATTCACTCGGTTACTCTGTTCCCAGAATGTAGTTATCAAGAATCTTAGAGCGAGTCATTGGAACACGTTGATGGCGTTGAGGGGATTGTTCAGTGTCTGAACTTTGCGTGTTCTATTTTTGCAATTACTGGGAGAGGCTTGATCGAGGTCATGTTTATTCCGTTGTTATATTTTGGTTTTTTAGGGTGTATATTGTTTTTCATATTTACTACATACATCAATTTTATGCATCATCACTTATAATAAAATATGTTAATCCCGACTAAATTTGTGTAGCTTCTTGATTTTTACCTAGAGAAAATGCCTTGTTATAGAGCTTTGTTAATTATTTTGAAAAGTGTGTTGCAATAACTAGGATTCTAATTTTCTACCTTATCTTGTAATATGAATTTTATCAATGCCTACACCTATAACAAGAGAGATCTTCTTTTGCAAAATGTGATGTTTTGTACAATTATATGTTTGGCTTTTCTTAAGGTGATTGAACAATTTTGTACTTGAAGATTTGTGGTTTTTTTTACATTGAGTCGATTATTAAAACTTGGATCCATTTCATTAACAAATATAAAGCTCTTTTTTTTGTTCTCAACTTCTAATTTTTAGCCAATCTATTCCATCTTCAATATACATTTGTTTCTTGCAGTTTAAGCCATGTTTGAACTTTATGACTCAATGGAAAGGGCAACAAAGTGGGATCTTGTTGGTTGCAAACGTTCAATACGTT